CACTATGCTCAATGACCTCAATAGTGTTTCCCAACGGATAGGTCTTAAGATGAACATGGACAAAACAAAGATCATGTTTAATGTCCATGTCACACCTATGCCGGTAGTTGTTGGGAACACTAAGCTCGAAGTTGTTGACGAGTATGTTTACCTGGGACAAATAGTCCGACTAGGTAAGTCCAACTTCGACCGAGAGGTCAATCGACGGATTCAACTCGGTTGGGCAGCGTTCGGGAAATTGCGGCACATCTTCTCGTCAGGTATACCTCAAAACTTGAAAACGAAACTGTACACCCAGTGCGTGTTGCCAGTGATGACATACGGAACTGAGACGTGGTCCTTCACTGCTGGCCGGATGAGGAAGCTCAAGGTCGCTCAGCGAGCTATGGAGAGGGCTATGCTCGGAGTTTCTCTGCGTGATAAACTCAGAAATGAGGATATCCGCAGTAGAACTAGAGTGACCGACATAGCCCAACGGATTAGTAAGCTGAAGTGGCAATGGGCCGGCCATATAGCTCGAAGAACCGACAACCGATGGGGAAGAAAGGTTCTCGAGTGGCAGCCTCGTACCGGCAGGCGAAGTGTAGGGCGTCCCCCCACTAGATGGAGTGACGACCTGGTAAGATATGCAGGAAGTCGATGGATGCAGGTGGCTCAGGACCGTGCTTTGTGGCATTCTTTGGGGGAGGCCTATGTTCAGCAGTGGACTTGTGAAGGGCTGTAATGATGATGATGATGATGACGACTGGATTTACGATGTCCGGACGTAGTCTGGCCCGGTCCCTAAGCAGCGGGAGGTTTAGAAGCTGCCTAACGTATTCGTCCACAATTCGCCGGACGTTGGCGTACCTTCCGGCTAGGAGGTCCCGAGCAGTCTGGTAGGCGTCGTCCGATAATCTCAAATGGCCGACGACGCCCAGGGCCTACCCCTCCAGTGAGGCCAGGAGGTATGCCATCTTCTGGCTTGGTGTCAAGTCCCTTCGGGCGTCCACTAGGCTATCAAAAAGACCAACAAAGATCAGCCAGTCGGAGAGGACCCCGGAGAATCTTGGCAGGTCCAGAGTTGGGAGTCGTCCCAGCAGCTCCGGCTGAGTAGGCTGCTTCCGAGGAGACTCGGGCAGGCCCCTCAGCCAAGCTTCACGCGCTTCATTAGCATACTTGTCCCCCGCCTCGATCAAGTCGTCCGTGAGCGAAAAGAATTTCTCGTAGTCTGCGAGGCAGGAGTCTAAGACTCCCTGTTCCGCTTCCAAGGCTACGAGCTCAGTGTAAGCCTCCTCCACTACAGACCTTCGGGCCGCGACCTGCTCGAGCAGACCCGATCGGGTCGCCCTATCAAAGTATGGGCATTCGCGGCCCAGCGCAGCTCCGCCTGCAGGCGAAGCGCCGGTGGATTTTGCGATCGCATCACTACTAAATTCAAATTACTATAAAATTAAATTAAATACAAATTACACTACAAATACAAATTACTATTTATTAAATTAAATACAAATTACACTACACAGCAAGTACACACTACAGTCTGTCAGCAAAGATGCCTCGCTCAGGCGACCGACCCTTAGGCAATTAATATCTACTATAATTATACGATAACGATAATTATACGATATATGATAACGATAATCAATCTACCTACCCGAAATACCTGACGCGTAGGTACCTAACCCTAAACTATACTCCTGCTTGCGCAGCCTAACGGGCGTGTTTCTAACCACCGATCCGTTAACAAACAAAAAAGAAACAAAAAAAAGAGCAAAAAAATATTTTTTTATATTACGGTCGGGCGCAACCACGCTCTGCTACCAAAAATGTTACGGCCCTCAGTTGCCCCGACAGAAGTCGACTGGACTAGGGCTCATGAGTAGCCCACCCGACGAGCAACCAGAGGGTTCGGGCCCAAATGGCCTATGGATAATTATTATGTAATGGCTGATAAGCAAACACAAACTTACCGAGTTCTGGGGTTGGGTCGACCACAAGGTGCAATCAGAGGTTAAGTTGGTGGTATGTAAGTGGTGTGCGAAAGTGTGTAAATGTAACCTGACGTCACCGATGTAATCGGACAGCAGATCGACATGCGCTTCTCTGCTCCCAAAGATATGCGATCACTTGGTAAGGCGTTCACCTTTATATAAACTTAAGTCTAACGTCACTTAGCACAAAATTATAATCACAGAAATTATAACGCGATCTCCTCTCGGGTCACAAATTTTTAGCGTTCTACCGACAAAGGAAAAATGTCTTCGTACGATATTAAAATGCCACACAAACAACTCGTCAACGCAATTAATGGCAATCGAAGTTAAGTTAATCAATCAAAAACTCAAGAAGAGCCTCGTTGTCACGTAAACGCACAAAAAAGACAACGGAATAAGAGGCGGTCGTCACGCGGGTAATTTGCAGACTACTGCACGACACGGCCGCGTGCAAAAAACTGCCCGCCGGCCCACGCCGTCAAATACTGTTGCTAGCCCACACGTCAAGCGACCGAGTCGAGCGTTTTGTATGCAAGTTTTAAATGTTAAGATTTGGCCTAAACAGTAATAGATAGGAAAACTCGATGGCCAGAATATCACAGCAGAAAGCGTCGCCAAAGTAATATTCGAAGGATGGTTAGCCCGTTATGGATGCCCAGTTACATTGTCTAGTGATCAGGGTAGACAATTCGAGAGCAATTTGTTCGCAAGCTTATTATAGGTTTTCGGTATAAAGAGACAAAGAACTACTGCATACCACCCGCAAAGTAACTCTAAAAAATTACAAAATATCTAGGAGAATATTTCTTGCATGCCAACTTGCATTTTTGCCATACCCAGTTTTCCTCTTCCTTGCACACTATGTCGGTCTATACGCTAGTATATCCTAAGTCTATGGAGAAAACATACAATTGTACATAAATTGATTCAATATACTTGTCTCGCTAATTCTAATTTAATGTTCAAATAAGACAAAATGAGACAAATCTATTGAAAGATGTTGCGTGTATTTCATGAGTGAAATGAAATGTCAAGTGATCATCTTTGATCTCTTTATACATTACCAAATTTGAGAGCAAATACACTCGTATCTTCTGATTTACTAGAAAAATGACATCCCTATTGTAGTAGTATTATATGTGACGTTACTTTACAAGACATCACGTCTTTAATCTACGGTGATTTCGTTCACAATGTTAGCAACAATCGACATCGATATTCTCGTTTTTTTTGGTAGTTATTTATTTTTATTCTTTTATTATATGTCTAAAAATATATAGAAAATAAGACTAGACTTATTATTATTCGAACAATTAAGTAAATTGTTTACTAAATCAAGTGATGATTATTATCATCATCATCATAAGAGCCCTTAAGAGCATCATAAGTCCACTGGTGAACATAGACCTCCCCCTCGGAATGCCCCAAACCACGGTCTTGAGCCACCTGCATCCATCAACTTCCTGCATGTCTTACTAGGTCGTCACTCCATCTAGTGGCGGGACGCCCTACACTTCGCCTACTGGTGCGAGGCTGCCACTCGAGAAGCTTTTTTCACTATCGGTTGTCGGTTCTGTGAGCTGTAATGCCGGCCCATTGCCACTTCAGCTTACTAATCCGTTGGGCTATGTCGGTCACTCTGGTTCTACTGCGTATATGCTCATTTCTAAGTTTATCACTTAGAGAAACCCGAAGCATAGTCCTTTCCATAGCTCGCTGAGCAACCTTGAGAGTCCTCATGCGGCCAGCAGTGAAGGGCACGTCTCACATCCATAAGTCATCGTAGCAACACGCACTGGTTGTATAATCTTGTTTTCAGATTTTTAGGTATACCTGAAGAGAAGATGTGTCGTAATTTCCCGAATACTACTACTGCTAAAGGAAAACGGGTAATACGTTCGTAATTGATTTATTGGTAGTTGTGATCTAGCAACAAAAGAGAAAGCAGACCGCGGCCGTGCCTCTGTTATTGAAATATCGTAGCAGTGCTCTCTTTGTACGTTCCGTGAAGGAAACCCAGTTTCGATTAAACAAACACAGTTATTATTTCGTGTAAAACCCATTATAAGTCTATGGATAACTTGACGAAAATATACCAGCCGAATTTTAGTAAAATTGTACCTGGTAGAACCATGCTGCAGCTATATTAGTAGTATAGTTGTAGCACGAATGGGTCAGCTCGACCGGGGAAGGACCACGCTCCCATAGAGTACCGGCGTAAAGTAGTAGCTTAAGGCTGCTGTGCTTCGTTAGTAAAAATAAATAACGGTGAGGGTAGAGAACCGAAGACCCATTTTACTGCAAACGAAGCATTCCATCTTAGTCCTCACGGGTGACAACGCATCTGCATTTTGATTCGTAGTTGAGGGTATACAGTAAGGAATCCACATTATATACAATAAATGAAACCACAAGTAATACTAGTCCATAGAAGTGTAGAAAATTAAAATATTAAATTAAAACCCGTAAAATAAAAAAGTGAAATTTTCAAACAAAATAAATATTAAAATAAATTCAGTAAAAGTAATCGCTCTGTTTAGACTACCTACTTTGACCCCTTGGAAGAGTGGCAACGTTCCACGCGGGTGGCATGGCGGTTGGCGGCAGGCAGCGTTATTGTCAGCACGGCTTTTGGTTCGTTTGACAATGTGCGACGAAATAAAAACTTACTTACGAAACTGTTTAAGTATTTTTAACGCCACTTTTTTATTTCGCGAAAATGGAACTGAACAAAATAAATATTATTGCATATTAGTGGCAAAATTTAATGGAACCCTAAATTTAAAAAAATTTCTAAATGTCCGCCACGTTCTTGAATGCACATGTTACATCGCCGCATAATGTTGTCCTGAAGCCTGCTCAACAAATTTCGTTCAGGATCCAGAGCCAGGGCTTTTAATTTGGCAAAGGTGGCAACGATACGAGAGATCGAAGCATTCTGTTGTTTTTTTTTGTTTGGCTCTTTCAACCTTTCAAGGCAACACTTTCATTATTATGTCAAAATTGACATTTGTGTCAACTGTCAAACTACTTTTGTAAACAACATGTGAATGTGGCTATTTAGTGGTTGTTTTATAAGATTAAAATAATGAATAACATATTATAAATTTTAAGAAGATAAAAATTACTACTGTGTATGGTATTAAAATGTCGCATCAATTAGGACGAGTTGTTTCAGAGATTCTCCATCGGTATTTTGGTGAACTTGTACAACAAGTGGGAAATGATTTGTTTATTTATGGTAGCAAGCCAATTTCTATGATCGTGAAGACTACAGGACTTCCGCGAAAGCAGGTTTTATCAGTTTCTTAATATAATTTTTTTTTCTAACAAAGATAGAAAATACAGTTCCTAAAAACTGATATTAAATGAAATGGTTGTTACCAATCAATATAAGAACTAAATAGTTTTTTTCAGTAATACAAATTTTTTATAAACTATTTTATACTAGATCAGAGACTTGATTTTGTTAAGAAAAGTAATATCAGTGACTAGAGCCAAATCATAACAAAACATCTGATTCATCCTGCCAGGCTTAAGAAAAACTAGTTTAGCCTAGGAAAAACTGATTTAGTCTAAAATTGGGTGGTAATAAACATTTTGTATAATATGAAACACTTATTTTTACAAAATACTCTTAGTCAAAAGTTATTTTAACTTAAGTTTTGGTCATAATCACTTTTAACCATTATTTTTCAGTCAAAATCTCTTTACCAATATTTTGAACCCAGTACAACTTGAAAAACAAAATGCAACAGGTCAAATGTGTAAGCTTATGTCAAATGAGCAAGATCACAGAACACAATAAGGTCCGCCACATACATATGGAATGCCGTTTCAGAATTCCGAACGGGTCGGCCACACACATACGGAATCCCGTTTTACCCGCAACCGTACGTGTGTGACGGATCATAGATTTTATATGAACTTGCTGTGATCGGAATATTGAAACGGAATCCTGAAATGGAATTCCGTATGTATGTGGCGGGCCTTACTCTCTACCGAGAGAACAAGATTATTAAATAACATAGTTATTTTTCTTAATTTTCACTGCACTCTGACTACAGGTTTACTCAAAAATAGTTTTGATAGGAATTTCAATAAGAAAATAATATGCATTTTTGTGGGAGGATTACAGGGCAAAGGAGTACCAATTTCTTTCTTTCCTTTCTATTTAACAAAAAATTGTATTAAAATGCTTCAAATTGCCACTTAGTAAATTATCTATGTATTTCCAAAGGGGGAGGGGGAAGTGAACCTTTTTTTTAAGTTTTCTAATCATAATCTATATTTAGGAAGAAAAGTTCAGTCAGTGAGAGCAAAAAGGTACACAATATAAAACACAGTTATCAGACATTAATATATTGCTACAGGATCTTATTAGACATGACTGCTTTAATTAACTTGAGTGTTCCAGTTTTCTTACATCATTAATTCATAAAAATTAGGCTAATTTGCTTAGAGTATTTAAAAACTAATTTTCTAGTTTTGAATTCAACAAAATTAAAATTTACCTTGTTCTTAAAAATAGATGATAATTTAAAAAATTCAATAAAAGATAACAACTATATTAATAGGCCTGTTCTTTTTTGGTAACAATTAGTAAAATTAAAATTTTGTACAACCGCCTTCAATATAAATAAAATGAGAACATCATTAATGTACTTGAAGTCAATTAAATAAGCATTATTAAGGATAACTCAAAAACTGCTCAGATCTTGATCAAATTTATATGGAATCACATGAGAAGCATTAACTTTCAAATAAAAAAAAAATCTTCAAAATCAGTTTACCTAGAAAAAAGTTCTGAGGTTGTTACCTCCACACATAAAAAAAAAGTTAATTAAGAACCTCCACCTTTTTTTTGAAGTTGATTGAAAAGTAAATATCAATGAAATAAATTCACTTTAAATGTTACATTATGGTCGATATATAATTTTATTACACTATTCTCTTTATAACTTTAGGTAATTGAAAGTCTTCGCACACTTCTCAAGTTTGATTTGGCATCATTTGAACCATCGGTACATGAAGTTGTTGCTGATTATAAACTGCTTCCCGATAACGTTTTGCTTCTTATCAGATACCCAAGGTAATCATAGTTTTATAAAAATCAAAGATCAATGTTGTAGAGCCACGCTGCAGTTATATTATGGATGTAGCACGAACAGGTCGGTGCGACCAGGGAAAGGCCACACTCTCACAGAATACCAATGTAGAATAGCAGCTTAATGCATTTCGTATGGTGAGTGTAGAGAACGGAAAACCCTTTTTACAGGAAACAATACATTCCATCTTAGTCTTAGTATTGACTATGCATCGGATTTTTGATTCTTATCTACGCCATCTATTTACCATCAAGTTGACTGTGTGTTCGTTTGTCACCCTTCTTATAAAAACAATTTCAAATTAAAAATTTTGTACAACTGACTTCAAAATAAACTATTAAGAATAACTCAAAAACTATTGGTCAGTCCTTGATCAAATTTATATGGGACCACCTGTGAAGCACAGGCTTTCAAATAAAAAAAGAATCATCGGAATCGGTTCACCCAGTAAGAAGTTATGAGGTAACACACAAAAAAAAACATACTGTCAAATTGAGTACCGGCTCCTTTTTGAAGTCAGTAGAAAGTGTTAGACATAGTCCCTCCAATTTGAATGATTTGCTGGAATGTCCACATTATGCAGTTTGTTATAGTATATTTTAGTAGCATTTCCTTACGTTGACCCTTACAATAACCCTTCATGGCTATAAATTCTTTTAAATCTATACCAAACAGCATAACATTAGTTATCTTAGTTAAGTATAATTTTTGTCAGCTTCCTGCAGTCATGGTAGGTAGATTAACAAATTGTAGATCAAGAGAAGCCATATTTGACAGATTTCATGGCGGGGAAGTTAATTTCTTAAGAAAATATAAGGGATAATGTTTATTTCTGAAATGTTAAATAAATTTTATATTAATTAGACGAGAAATAAGTAAACCAAGCTATGGGATATTCCTAAAAGTAGAAAAATTAGTTAAAAACGTGCAAAAAATTAAAGAGCAAACCACTGAGACATTGTTTTGTGTATTTACAGCTGTAAAGTCATAAACTTTCATTGTGTAATTACATTGTGTTATAAATAACTTCACCTCAGTCCCAACTTCACGACGCGACGTCTGGTGAGCGGAAGAATATTAGCTCTCTTTGGGATGGTTACGTGCTATCTGTCGGGAGCCACAAGATCTTTCTAGCATTCCCCATAGCCGCCTTTTACGACATCCATGGGTCGAAATAGGGTGATGAACTTTCTAATGCCACCATGAAATATTAGTAACTAAATAATTGATAGTAATTTTATATTTATCTTATTATGTTTCCATTTCTAAGGCTCCTTATGTCTCTCAAGAAGCCCTCATAATTATGCCCTGTCCATCTGTTCTAATATGTCACAGCATCAAAACTTCTGGATCTTTGACAAAATTTGATAAAATTAACCGAGGTTTGCAGCGGCGCTTGACCAATACCGTTGCAATTCTCCGCCTCACGGTGTCTAATCGCGTATTCGCAATCAACTTAGCAATTTTCTCGCCATGCCACACTATATTATTGCCATCCAGTGCAGCCAAATCAGTGAAATGCACCACATTGGCGCAACATCTCATTGTCTGGCTTATTATGCATGCTTACTACAGTATACTTGGCCAATTACATTACAACTGATACATCAGTAATTTCAACAATTTTAATTGTTTAACATTACTTAAGTTTTTTGGTATTACATAGATATCTCTTGCAAATAAAGAGTAAATACGGTACGGAGGCGGAGCTTTTGGTGGAAGAGCTTTTACAACAAGCAACAAGTACTGCTACTGGATTATTGGTTACCGTAGCTACTAAGAATAAAGATGACAAGGTATGATATATAGCACGTAAGGTGTTTTTGATATACAAATATAGAAAAATATCTTAAAGCTTTTTGAGTTACTATCCTGCAGATCCTGGGTCTAATTCCAACTGAATAAATATTATCAGGAAGATGCTGCTGCCCATTTCCTGTTGCCAGTTTCCCCTCTGTTGCCTCTAATGACACTTACGAGATGATAATGAGTCGCTAGTTTATCTTATAAAATTAAAGTGGCAAGCAAACTAACTGTCCACCTTTTTTTATATAGAATTGGGTGACAAACGAGCACACAGTCCACCTGATGGTAAGTGGTTGCTGTGGCCCATAGACATTTGTCCTCGTATGCGATTCAAAATGCAGATGCGTTGTCATCCATGAGAACTAAGATGGAATGCCTCTTTTCCAGTAAAAAGGGTCTCCGGTTCTCTACACTCACCATACGAAACACAGCAGTTTTGAGCTGCTATTTTACGCTGGTATTCTGTGAGAGCTTGGTCCTTCTCCTGTCGAGCCGACCCATTCGTGATATAACTATACTATTGATATAGCTGCAGCATGGCTCTACCACGTATAAAATATACCACCTGATGGTAAGTGGCTATGGCAGCACATGGACACCTGCAATCAACTTTAAACAAAGAAGACTACAAATGGATTGGCTCCACAGAGGACTAAGATGGAATGCCTGGAATCATTGCACTGGCTCTCTTTAACTTTCAGATCGAAACAGCAGTACACCCACTGCTGCTTGGTAGCAGAGATAGATAAGAGGGTGATAGATATCCAGACGGACACCTGGGCACAAAAGGAATCCCACCATCTAGTAGTCGAGTCTATTGGTCTCTCTAATATAATATAAAATGTTACCGTTGGGCTTTCAGGAAAAGAATATAACAATATTGAAACTAAGAGACACATTTGTAAGTCTGGCCACTGCGGGATACATCCAACAGGCGCCAGTGGCTGACACGAAAGAAGGCAGTAGTGATGTACCGTCATTAGTGCCCGTAGCAACAATAGTACCTGATCTGGACACCAGGCAGTTGTTGCACGCAATGACTACCGGTAGTTTAGCAGATATTAAAGATAGTAAGTGTATAGTAAGTGTATATTTTGAAAAACACATTGTATTTTTATAACTTCTAAATGCGCTGCAAAATTATTAACTCCCCCATGTCGTTTTCCGACTACCACATGAGCCGCGATGATGCCGCGAGTGAAACCTCGTTGTTTATTTAGATATAATATTTACAAGTCGATACAGAGTATAAGCACTAGGTTTGAGGAAATATAGTTACATAAAATGAAATTGTTATAATATTAAATGTTATTAATGTTAAATTTTCTAATGTGATAGAGCCAAGCAGCAGCTATATTAATAGTATAGCTGTAGCACGAATGGGTCGGCTCGACCGGGGAAGGACCACGCTCTCACAGAATACCAGCGTAAAATAGCAGCTTAATGCTGCTGTATTTCGTATGGTGAGTGTAGAGAACCGGAAAAAATATGGCGTGCCCCAAGGCAGTGTACTGGGGCCACTATTATTGTTCGCGCAAAACACTTTCAAGGATTGACGCGAGAGGGCGCTCGGCGCGGTGCTTCATACCGGTTTGACTTTCGGTCGTGCGAAAAACGCCCAAGGGCAGTCAGTCGTCCATAATCGGTGCTGACGTGAGCACGCGGTCCGTTCTGTTAGGGAACTCGGAATAATTAGGTGCGGCCCGTAAATATACGGTCTAGGATTTGTGACGCGCATTCCTACTGGAGAGCTTCCCGGGACTTATTGTGTCTGACTCAGAACCTGCATAAGTGCATTCGACAATATAAGCTAGTGCGGCCTCGGTATTTAGAACTAACTGTTGCCACGCGAAACGGTAGTGACCTTTGACCCAGAAACTCCGGGCGTGTTTTGTGCGGTAACCTTATACCCCGCGATAGTTAGTGGCTTCTGTAAGCTAGTTAATCGTACGATAGAGTTAAGTGACTGTCATCGTGGTGAACCAAGAAAGTGACTGTGGATAACCTCGAAAGGCCCCCTCAAATTGGAGCGGTGTCGACGCTCGGGCTGCTGCCGACGGCTAAGGTCCAGGTTTAATCACCATCAGTCACACCCAGATACACACCACATCACCATTCTTTCTCTTGCACTACACAACTACATGCGACCTGACCGACTCCGGAGGGACCAGTCGTCTTGGATCGAGGTAAGTGAACTCCACCAAATTCCTTCCGGTCGACTGGCCGTAGTATAACGCTCCCCCATATATTTTAGTGTAATTAGAGAGATTCCACGTGGCCTTAGGAGGCCCGACCTACGTCTGCTCGGGAGGTCTTCAGCTCATGGGCCCCTGAGGATCTGATCCTTTACGGGAGCAGCCGTAGGCCGTAACAATCTGGTAGCAGAGCGCGGTTCCGGGTTCGATTCCCCGGTCGATCCCGACCATAGTGTTTGATAAACATTAAACAATTCTGGTGGCAGGGAGCGTTGGTTTGATTGGTTTAATTTGTATCTACAATCACGCCCGTCCGTAATACGTAAAAATATTTTTTTGTACGTAATAATAGAATTATTTCCCTTTGTTCTTTGTTGCTTGCCTTTTTTTTTGGTTAGTGGGTAGATTTGAAAAGCCGCGCCCTTGGTTGCGCAAGCGGGAGTTTTCTAGAGATATACGTCATGTAGGTAGATGGTTATTTTTACGTAATCGGTTAATTATCGTTGTCGGATAGTTGTAGTGGATTACTTATCGAAGGGTCGATTTCCGAGCTAGGCATTTTTTGTTGATCGACCGTGATGTGTATCTTCGTTTATACTGTAAGTTGTATTTGAACTAAAGAGTAGTAATTGTATTTGCGCCATTTGAATTTAACTTGATTTGATCGCACTAGTATTTGTTATTTGTTAATTTGATTTGTGTCTTTTCTTTTGTGCTAACTTGTATTTGGTTGATACGTAGTAATTCGTATTTGTGTAATTCCTATTCAACGCGATTTGATAGGAACTGCATTTATTAACTGTTAATTTTTGTTGTATTTTTTGTTTGTTATCCTTGTAATCCGTGCTCAAGCCGCGTCGTAATTGGCATTTAATAGTGATGACATCGCCCAAGCTACTGATCCGTTGTTTGCGGACTGAGCTACGCTGGGCCACAAGCGCCCATGCTTTGATAGGTCGACCGGATAGGGTCCATAACTTGATGAAGCGGTTCGAGCAGGTGGATGCTCGAAGGGCAGCAGTGGAGGAGGCTTACGCTGAGCTCGAGGATTCGGATGTGGAGAAGGGAGTCCTGGACTCCTGCTTCGCGGACTATGAGCAGTTCTTGTGGCTCACGGACGAGTTGATCGAGGCTGAAGGCAGGTATGCCGAGGAGGCGCGTGAAGCTCGGATGAGTGACCTGTCCGAGTCCTCTCTGAAGCAGCTTCAGCCGGAGCTGTGGGGACGACTCCCAACTTTGGACCTGCCAAAGTTCTCCGGGGTCCTTTCCGAATGGCTGACCTTCGTTGGTCTTTTCGACAGCCTAGTGGACGCCCGGAGTGACTTGACCCCGAGCCAAAAGATGGCGTACCTCCTGGCCTCACTGGAGGGGAAGGCCCTGGACGTCGTCGGCCACTTGAGATTGTCGGACGACGCCAACCAGACTGCTCGGGACCTCCTAGCCAGAAGATACGCCAACGTCCGGCGAATTGCGGACGAACAGGTTAAGCAGCTTCTAAGCCTCCCGCTGCTTAGTGACCGAGCCAGACTACGTCCGGACCTGTTGGATCCAGTCTTAGTGGCCTGTAATACGTTGAGGCGGCTGGAATTACCAGTGGGCGAATGGGCTTTTTTGTTGCTCCGCATCGTGCTGTCCCGTCTACCTCTCGACCTTCTAATCCATTTTGAGGAGAGGTACAGCGGGGACGAGGCCTCCTATATTCCGCCCTTCTATGACCTGCTGCGGTTTTTGGAGGAGCAGTGCCGGCAGATCGAGAACGCGGCGGGCACCGTTGACGACTTACGAGACGTGCCCAGTGAGAGGCTGAACCCGCCAGGCAAGTCGTCGTCAACCCCCCCCTGCTCCTATTGTCGAGCATCTGATCACCGGGTAACGTCGTGCCCGAAATTATTAGGTAAGCCGGTTCCAGCGAGGCGAACTATCGCCAAGGAGCGCCGCTGGTGCTGGTCATGTCTGGGAGGGCACCTCCAGCGAGACTGTCCGCATCGACGGCCCTGTCTGCATTGCCGGGGCAATCACCATGCCGTTTTGTGCCTGGGTGCGAACGGCGTCTCCTCTCGGGGCTCTGCCGGGCCCTCGACCCCCACGGGCGGGGGCGCTCAGCCGCGCCCTCTGCAGGGTGACTCTCGGCGCCCGCCGGCCAGCCACCGGGCCCCTAAGTTTGAAAGGAGTCCCTCCCCCGAACAGTCGGGGGGTGATTCCCCCAGGGGCGGGGGTGTCATCACCCCCCCTCAGCGTGTGGAGAGGAACTTCACGGCCACTCATCGGTCCGCTGGACCCTTCTCACTTCCGTTAGCTGAGTGGCCGCGACTGGTGTACCACTGTTCCCCATTTGATGGAGGCGGCCCTGGTTAACTGCCGCCTTAGCTCCCACCACGGCCACCTCCACTGAGCCTTAAACCGTCAACAGTCCACTTGTCAAAATGTTCTGTTGCCGACGGCCTCAGTGAAGGCGTACAACCCGAGTGGCAACTGTTAGAGGTTGTGCTCTATTTATCTCGGGTTCACGCCATGTGGCCTCCCCTTGGTGGTGGGAAGATTAGGGCCCCCCTGGAGCGTTGAATCACGCTGTCAAGGGGTATTAGATTTGGTTTGGTCGAGCACTTAGTCAAAAAATACTTGAATTAAAATTAAAAACTGCTTTGGGCTTTCCGCGAAATTTTCCTATTTGTAGCGGTTTAAATTAAAAGGATTGAATTTAATCTACTCTTTTAAATGCTACTGCATGTGTTTTGTAAATATATTTAATCACTGTATTCGATTGTTGCGTCTGTTTGCCGAAAGGAAAATTTGAATTCATCTCAAATTGAATGGCGCACTATTTGAAAAATTATGTTTATGTTTATGATAGTGTTTAATCATTTTGCTTTGCGAAGAAGTAGGGCTGTCCCTTACGTTATTGTTTTGTTTAATTTGCAAGTTGACCTATGCGCATCGGTGATTAATTTGGTTGAATTAATTCTGTAGTTGAACATTGATGCTTTTGAAAAATTAGTTGAAATATGAGCATAGGACTACTTGTCTAACAGGCTAGCTAGTTTTGGAGATTATCAGATTGAAATCAGCTGCCGCACTATTTTAGTAAATGATAATATGGTGGGTGGCCTGGCTAGGCCTACTTGTTGAAAATTCATACTAGGGACTATCTGTGCGTTTCGTTTGGCTCTCCACAGACGACGTTCATGTGGAATTTGTGGGTGCGCTCTGCACTGAAGCAACTGCTGGCACAAAATTTGTCTGGGCAGCTTCGTGTAGCGTCGCTGTTTGCAGAGCTGATCCGGTCGAATTGCGGAACTAATCATAGGGGCACAGATAGGTGTTTGAAAGAGGTCGTCGGACTTCTGTCCAGTACGGGACTTGTTAAAGTGCTGCGATGCCCAGGAGGGTATCCAGTGGAGGCTGACCCTCCGGCTTGCCACATTAGGGCTATTTTTTGAGGCGCTGGTTAGGGTTGCAAGATCTGATGGGGTGCCTAAGGTGGCCTAGTTTGGTTGTAGATTCGGTCTTGCAACTTGCCCTCGCGACCTTGCCCCGCTGACCGGTTTGCTCGCGGACCTAAATCCTTATGTCCGGGACGGGGGTTTGTTCGCGCAAAACACTTTCAAGGATTGACGCGAGAGGGCGCTCGGCGCGGTGCTTCATACCGGTTTGACTTTCGGTCGTGCGAAAAACGCCCAAGGGCAGTCAGTCGTCCATAATCGGTGCTGACGTGAGCACGCGGTCCGTTCTGTTAGGGAACTCGGAATAATTAGGTGCGGCCCGTAAATATACGGTCTAGGATTTGTGACGCGCATTCCTACTGGAGAGCTTCCCGGGACTTATTGTGTCTGACTCAGAACCTGCATAAGTGCATTCGACAATATAAGCTAGTGCGGCCTCGGTATTTAGAACTAACTGTTGCCACGCGAAACGGTAGTGACCTTTGACCCAGAAACTCCGGGCGTGTTTTGTGCGGTAACCTTATACCCCGCGATAGTTAGTGGCTTCTGTAAGCTAGTTAATCGTACGATAGAGTTAAGTGACTGTCATCGTGGTGAACCAAGAAAGTGACTGTGGATAACCTCGAAAGGCCCCCTCAAATTGGAGCGGTGTCGACGCTCGGGCTGCTGCCGACGGCTAAGGTCCAGGTTTAATCACCATCAGTCACACCCAGATACACACCACATCACCATTCTTTCTCTTGCACTACACAACTACATGCGACCTGACCGACTCCGGAGGGACCAGTCGTCTTGGATCGAGGTAAGTGAACTCCACCAAATTCCTTCCGGTCGACTGGCCGTAGTATAACGCTCCCCCATATATTTTAGTGTAATTAGAGAGATTCCACGTGGCCTTAGGAGGCCCGACCTACGTCTGCTCGGGAGGTCTTCAGCTCATGGGCCCCTGAGGATCTGATCCTTTAAGGGAGCAGCCGTAGGCCGTAACAATTATTTATTATATATGTTAACGATTCGCCGAATGCAATGACTCAGCCTATGATATGATTTGCTGACGACTGTGCTGTTACAATTGCATATAAGGAAATGTCCTTGAATGAATAGGATGATTAATAAATCATTATAAGTTTGACATCAAAAACGCATTGACATCTGTAATTTCATGGCTAAACAATAATAATTTAAAAATAAATTTAACGAAGACAAATATAATGCACTTTGGACAAAGATCACAAAGCCCATTAAATGTAAACTGGTTTATGATAATTACACTATAAATGAAGTTACTAATGCCCGTTTTCTTGGCTAAAATATACAGGAGACAGTAAATTAAACTGGAAAGAACACATTAACGTATTATGTAAAAAAATCAGAAATCTTTCATACGCCATTCAAAACTTGTTTTAACCATCAACACTGATGCGCTTTATTATTATCTACACATGCTTTTGCAAATAAATATATTTTCATCTTAAAAAAACACAACTCAAAAATTTACCGACAAAAACAAAGATGCGTGGTAGGCACCACCAGGCTACAGCTATATTATGGTGTAGCACAAATGGGTCGGCTCGTCCGGAGAAGGACCACGTTCTCACAAAATACACAAACTCTCACAAAATAAAAAAAGGAAACAAGTCATTCTACCATAGAATAGAATATTTTTTTATTCAATATATCTATGCGTAATTCTTATTGAGTCATTTTTTATTTTACCACTAGTCGTTTTACACATAGTCCTCAGGGGTGACAACGCATTTTGATTCTTAATCGTAGATGGATGTAGTAGATGTTAATGGGCCACATCATCCACTTCACATCAGGTGGATTATGTGCTCGTTTGTCACCTTTCATTCTAAAAATCTGCAGTATTTTGTGTGATGAGTGATGAAAATCGGAGACCCTTTACTGGTAATAAACATTCCATCTTAGTTGCTAAGGGTGACAACGTATTTGATTCTTAATAATTAAGGATAAATGTTGGTGCCCGTGGATTACAGCATTTACCAACTTAATTCTAAAAAATATTTTATGTTTAATTTGGATAAGTGCACAAAAGGAATATCCAAAGCAGAGACAGATATAGTGTTGATGTAAAGTTGATTTATGTTCCAGATATTTATTGGAAGGTCAATTATGATAGATTTCACCAGGACTTCAGAGACGATATAATGGTTAAAGCAATGACTCGGCGGATAGATGACAATGGTAATATTTCATTCTATTGCTTTTATGTTAGACAACTTTCATGGGAAATTCTAATGGCCTCGAAAAAGGGATTACATAAATGTTAGAATAGTGTAATATGAACTTTTTATCAAGACCCGAGGGAGATCAGGGGATAAGCTCTTGCCGTAAATTTTAAAGCACCGAGAAATAAGTAAAAGCAAATAAAAATATGTCGGGGATTATCAAATTTTCATTTGGTGACTTATTGCAAGTGGTTTGGAAAAAAAATACAAACTATTTTTATGAAAATTTTCTCATGTATTAGTTATGTAATTAAACGTCGTGAGATACTAGTTTGGAGAATCTATCTTAAATCCTATTTTTTTTTAAGAAAAAGGAACACTTAACGCTTGTAATATACCCATTCACCACTTCAAACAAGCAAATAGTGCTTTACGACAGTAATCCAATAGCGGATTTGAACTGTCCCTTGAATATTAGCCAACTGTTACTTAATAAATAAATGACATGTCGAGATGATAACAATTAACTAAAATACAATATGTTACCGTTACTGCCTGCCCCATAGATTACCTCTTGGGGGGGGGGGGGGGGGGGATATTTGCCATAGTTGCAAACTGTTATATAATATATAATACTAGCTGGCCAGGCAGACGTTGTTCTGCCCTTTCCGACGCACCTTCCTATAAAAAAATCCTTCAATTCGCAATAAAAAATATTAAAGGTCACTTATCGAGATCCTATCTCTCAAGTTGGACCAAACTGCACACAGTGTGCAAAATTTCATTGAAATCAGTTCAATAGTTTAGGAGTTCATCGCGGACAAACAATGTGACACGAAATTTTTATAAATAAAGATTATGTACATGTTATAATTGAGGAATTGTACTTTTAGCGGGCGAGCTAATGCGTTTACTGCTTCAACAAATGTACCTGTCGTCTGCTGCGTGGGCGGCGGAATCGAACCCCACGCCGGCGCTCGACATCCGCGAAGCAGTTCGCCGTGCTGCGGACAAGTCACTGCTCAGTCAACACGTCGACCACTACTTGAAAGTGCTGGGTAAGTCTTCATTCTTCATTTATTTGACTTTTGCTTTTTTTTATTGATTAGTAGTGTGCTAATATTTTTTATAGGATAAGGTTAACAAGCGAGCTCACAGGTCACCTAATGGTAAATTGATGCTTTGGCCCATAGACATCTACATAATATAACCTCAATTATGAATCAAAATCCAAATGTATTGTCACCCTTGAGGACTAAGATGAAATGTCTCGTATCCAATAAAAAAAGATATCAAGTTCTCTACACTCACCATACGAAACACGATATTAAGGTGCTATTTTACGCTGGTATTCTGTGACAGTGTACGCAATCTTTAAGTGCATATTTCTCTACAATATTCACCCTAAAACACTAGGTAAAATACTTCGTTTCCGCTCTCTTACCTATTTCTGCTGTCAAATAACAGTGCTTGTACTGCCGTGGTCTGGTCTGGCATTCCATTTGTATATTCTAGGGTGACTATTTCTGTAGTCTTTATCGATTGAAGTTGGATGGACTGTAGTAGACACTTACCATCAGATGCAAGTTTGTTTGTCACAACAGATAAAATTTTTTTTGAGACTGCAGAAGCGTGGCAAATCCTGTCCACAACGGAAGAAGGGGGATATTGTATACTTAATGGGGCTAATGAAGGATAAGGTGATCAGAATATCAGTGATTGTTTTTGTTGGCGCGTCTGTTGATAATCGTGTAACACCTGCACGATTTGGCCTATCGAGGTCATATCACACAATATATTTTTATTTCTTGAGACGATGATACATAGCTATGCTAGGACCCGATAGTTGACTGTATTCAAATTATTAACAAATATTTTATTTATGGAAGAAAATGATTCATATTCTCAATAAAATAATACATCAAACTAAATAACAAAATCTAGACTAAAAAAAAACGGAATTAATAAATTTTATAATTAATTATTATTATAAAGGCGGGCAGCCGCTGGTGTGTGTGAGAGAGAGAGATAGATGTTAGTGGGTGATAGTGTGCTGTGTGTGCAGAAGAGAACGGCGCGGGGTTCGTGCGTCGAGTGGGGGACGCGGGCGGCGGGCAGCTGGTGGTGTGTGTGTGAGAGAGAGATAGATGTTAGTGGGTGATAGTGTGCTGTGTGTGCAGAAGAGAACGGCGCGGGGTTCGTGCGTCGAGTGGGGGACGCGGGCGGCGGGCAGCTGGTGGTGTGTGTGTGAGAGAGAGATAGATGTTAGTGGGTGATAGTGTGCTGTGTGTGCAGAAGAGAACGGCGCGGGGTTCGTGCGTCGAGTGGGGGACGCGGGCGGCGGGCAGCTGGTGGTGTGTGTGTGAGAGAGAGATAGATGTTAGTGGGTGATAGTGTGCTGTGTGTGCAGAAGAGAACGGCGCGGGGTTCGTGCGTCGAGTGGGGGACGCGGGCGGCGGGCAGCTGGTGGTGTGTGTGTGAGAGAGAGATAGATGTTAGTGGGTGATAGTGTGCTGTGTGTGCAGAAGAGAACGGCGCGGGGTTCGTGCGTCGAGTGGAGGACGCGGGCGGCGGGCAGCTGGTGGTGTGTGTGTGAGAGAGAGATAGATGTTAGTGGGTGATAGTGTGCTGTGTGTGCAGAAGAGAACGGCGCGGGGTTCGTGCGTCGAGTGGGGGACGCGGGCGGCGGGCAGCTGGTGGTGTGTGTGTGAGAGAGAGATAGATGTTAGTGGGTGATAGTGTGCTGTGTGTGCAGAAGAGAACGGCGCGGGGTTCGTGCGTCGAGTGGGGGACGCGGGCGGCGGGCAGCTGGTGGTGTGTGTGTGAGAGAGAGATAGATGTTAGTGGGTGATAGTGTGCTGTGTGTGCAGAAGAGAACGGCGCGGGGTTCGTGCGTCGAGTGGGGGACGCGGGCGGCGGGCAGCTGGTGGTGTGTGTGTGAGAGAGAGATAGATGTTAGTGGGTGATAGTGTGCTGTGTGTGCAGAAGAGAACGGCGCGGGGTTCGTGCGTCGAGTGGGGGACGCGGGCGGCGGGCAGCTGGTGGTGTGTGTGTGAGAGAGAGATAGATGTTAGTGGGTGATAGTGTGCTGTGTGTGCAGAAGAGAACGGCGCGGGGTTCGTGCGTCGAGTGGGGGACGCGGGCGGCGGGCAGCTGGTGGTGTGTGTGTGAGAGAGAGATAGATGTTAGTGGGTGATAGTGTGCTGTGTGTGCAGAAGAGAACGGCGCGGGGTTCGTGCGTCGAGTGGGGGACGCGGGCGGCGGGCAGCTGGTGGTGTGTGTGTGAGAGAGAGATAGATGTTAGTGGGTGATAGTGTGCTGTGTGTGCAGAAGAGAACGGCGCGGGGTTCGTGCGTCGAGTGGAGGACGCGGGCGGCGGGCAGCTGGTGGTGTGTGTGTGAGAGAGAGATAGATGTTAGTGGGTGATAGTGTGCTGTGTGTGCAGAAGAGAACGGCGCGGGGTTCGTGCGTCGAGTGGGGGACGCGGGCGGCGGGCAGCTGGTGGTGTGTGTGTGAGAGAGAGATAGATGTTAGTGGGTGATAGTGTGCTGTGTGTGCAGAAGAGAACGGCGCGGGGTTCGTGCGTCGAGTGGGGGACGCGGGCGGCGGGCAGCTGGTGGTGTGTGTGTGAGAGAGAGATAGATGTTAGTGGGTGATAGTGTGCTGTGTGTGCAGAAGAGAACGGCGCGGGGTTCGTGCGTCGAGTGGGGGACGCGGGCGGCGGGCAGCTGGTGGTGTGTGTGTGAGAGAGAGATAGATGTTAGTGGGTGATAGTGTGCTGTGTGTGCAGAAGAGAACGGCGCGGGGTTCGTGCGTCGAGTGGGGGACGCGGGCGGCGGGCAGCTGGTGGTGTGTGTGTGAGAGAGAGATAGATGTTAGTGGGTGATAGTGTGCTGTGTGTGCAGAAGAGAACGGCGCGGGGTTCGTGCGTCGAGTGGGGGACGCGGGCGGCGGGCAGCTGGTGGTGTGTGTGTGAGAGAGAGATAGATGTTAGTGGGTGATAGTGTGCTGTGTGTGCAGAAGAGAACGGCGCGGGGTTCGTGCGTCGAGTGGGGGACGCGGGCGGCGGGCAGCTGGTGGTGTGTTTGTGAGAGAGAGATAGATGTTAGTGGGTGATAGTGTGCTGTGTGTGCAGAAGAGAACGGCGCGGGGTTCGTGCGTCGAGTGGGGGACGCGGGCGGCGGGCAGCTGGTGGTGTGTGTGTGAGAGAGAGATAGATGTTAGTGGGTGATAGTGTGCTGTGTGTGCAGAAGAGAACGGCGCGGGGTTCGTGCGTCGAGTGGGGGACGCGGGCGGCGGGCAGCTGGTGGTGTGTGTGTGAGAGAGAGATAGATGTTAGTGGGTGATAGTGTGCTGTGTGTGCAGAAGAGAACGGCGCGGGGTTCGTGCGTCGAGTGGGGGACGCGGGCGGCGGGCAGCTGGTGGTGTGTGTGTGAGAGAGAGATAGATGTTAGTGGGTGATAGTGTGCTGTGTGTGCAGAAGAGAACGGCGCGGGGTTCGTGCGTCGAGTGGGGGACGCGGGCGGCGGGCAGCTGGTGGTGTGTGTGTGAGAGAGAGATAGATGTTAGTGGGTGATAGTGTGCTGTGTGTGCAGAAGAGAACGGCGCGGGGTTCGTGCGTCGAGTGGGGGACGCGGGCGGCGGGCAGCTGGTGGTGTGTGTGTGAGAGAGAGATAGATGTTAGTGGGTGATAGTGTGCTGTGTGTGCAGAAGAGAACGGCGCGGGGTTCGTGCGTCGAGTGGGGGACGCGGGCGGCGGGCAGCTGGTGGTGTGTGTGTGAGAGAGAGATAGATGTTAGTGGGTGATAGTGTGCTGTGTGTGCAGAAGAGAACGGCGCGGGGTTCGTGCGTCGAGTGGGGGACGCGGGCGGCGGGCAGCTGGTGGTGTGTGTGTGAGAGAGAGATAGATGTTAGTGGGTGATAGTGTGCTGTGTGTGCAGAAGAGAACGGCGCGGGGTTCGTGCGTCGAGTGGGGGACGCGGGCGGCGGGCAGCTGGTGGTGTGTGTGTGAGAGTTTTAACGGTGGTAGAGCCACGCAGCAGTTTTTGCTGTTGCATGTATAGGCCGGCTCGAGCCGGGTTGGTACCACGACCTCACAGAATACCGGCGTGAAGTAGAAGCTCTGCTTCTGCGTTTCGTCCAGGAGGGTACCAGTACCCCTGGAGAATCCCTCGCTGAGCATCCACGACCATGTTATTCCGATCCTGAGCGTGGGTGCTCAGGCTGCCCCGCGTATTCTGGGGGGGCAAAATTCCGCTCAAAAGCATAACTGCTAGGGGCAAACTGAGCAAGAACACCAAGGCGACCCCTGCCACGCTATCCGTGAATTTCTGCAACATCAGGGGACTTCACTCTAACCTAAACGCCGTCCACTACCATCTCGAGACGGCGAAGCCGGCCTTGCTCTTTCTGACCGAGACGCAGGTTTCCTCTCCGGCTGATATTTCGTATCTCTCCTACCCGGGGTACAAATTGGAGCATTCCTTTGTGCCTCGGGCTGGAGTTTGCGTGTATGTCAGAGAGGACATCTGTTCTCGACGCCTCGGCAGTCTTGAAGGTTCGGACCTGTCCATCCTTTGGCTACGCGTAGACAGCGACGACCATCCGCGCGTCTACGGGTGCCTCTATAGGTCCCATAGCGGTAATGCCGAAACAGACCGACTCATCGACCACGTCCAAATGGCTACAGATTCCTTGCTACAACAGGTCCCATCCGCAGAGATCGTGATCCTTAGCGATTTTAACGCCCACCATGCCGAATGGCTCGGTTCACGTCTAACCGATCATGCGGGGAGATCTGTTTATGACTTTGCCTTGGCATATGGTCTGACACAACTGGTTACTTCGCCTACGCGGATTCCAGATGTGGAGGATCATACACCTTCCCTGTTGGACCTTCTGCTGACCTCTCATCCGGACGGATATCAGGTTTCCGTCGATGCCCCTCTCGGCTCTTCGGACCATTGTCTGATCCGGAGTGTGGTGCCACTCACGCTCCCTTCGCGGTTGCGTTCTGCAGGTTGCCGCCGTGTTTGGCATTACAGGTCGGCAGATTGGA